ACCCCTATGGAGCAGGATTTACTTCAGTGGAGCTTTGGTGTTCCAAGTGTGCCCCTTGAGTGTGCCACTCGTGGCTGTGGAAGGGTTGTAATCCAGCGTGGTCGAGTCTGACCACCAGGTGCACTGTCTCTGGGGCCTCCTGGGAGGTGCAAAGTCAGCCTGTGCCAGTGCCTTGCCCAGGGCCACCCAGCATGAGCTACTCAGCAAACCGTAGTTGGCTGCTACTTGTGCTGGGCTTGGAGGTGTCCAGGAGAGACCAAGCCATGAGCCAATGCAGGCTGCCACTAGTGCCACGTCTGGGGCCGCTTATCAAGCCATATGGGGCCCGCTACTGCTTGTGTGAGAGATTTTAGGAAAGTCCTAAGCATAAGGCTTGAGAGGCTACTTGCATAGAAAAGCCCCTGGAAATGGCCCGGATGAGCCTGCAGGTGGGGAGGGGCGGGGCCAAAGGCGTGAGTCAGGTGCTGGCGATTCAAATAAGGCGCCAGCCTGCCGGCTCTGTGCGGGGAGGACTCGCCACAGGAGCCATGGCCTCCGCCAGCCCTTCTGCCTGGGAGGAAGCCGCCCCTCCACCTCTCGCCCGGATTCCAGGCAGGTTAGTTGCTCCCCAAGTGTCCCAGGTCCTTTCCGGATGCGACCCTCAGGGATAGTCCCAGCTGGTTACACAGCCCGGAGTTGTGGGGACATCTCTTGCTGGCCCCGGAGCCCTGGGCTGGGGGCCTGCTGTGAGGCTGGGACCCCTCGCTCCTCCGGGAAACCTCCACTGCTGAGATTCCCTCCTGGGTTTAAAATGCAGCACCAGGTGTGGGCCGGTGGTGAATCTCTGGGATTCAGCCCCGCCCCGCCCGCATCTCCGCCCCTCCTACCGCCTCGATGCTTCTTCAGTTCCCTGGTTGTGGGGCTTCTGTGCAGCCAGATTTCAGGAGGCTCTGAGTGATAGTGGTTCTGTACTGTGGTTGTAATTTTGATGTGGTTGTGGGAGGTGGTGGGTACAGCTGTTACCTACGCTGCCGTCTTGTTCTGCATAATTTCTAAACTTGGGTCCTCTAGAAAGTAGAATCTGAGGCAAAGATGTAGTTATTGTTCCTTTATTTGAGAGGTGCCTGAAAGTGAGGGTAGGGTAGAGAAGGGAAAGGAATGAGGTAAGGAAGAAACTGATGCAATGTGTTACCACAGTTGCCAGGATTGGTGACGGGGGTGAAGACTCATAGGAATGTCCCAGCAAGTGTGTTCACATAGAGTGTGGGACTTCTCCGGAAGGTTTATAAGAAGAAACTGCCCCTCTGAGCAGTCCACTGAAGGGCGGGAGGGGCATCGTAGTTTCCTAACTTCTTCCATCTTACATTTCCCATTGGCTAAGGTGACACATGGCTGTGTCATCTAGTCCTTAGGTAACTGCTCAGGAAGCCAGGTCTCATGCTCAGTGGTGTGTAATTGCAGCCAATGCTAGAAGGCCGAGGGGCAACTCAGATCAGATAGGCTTAGTGTACTTCAGTTTGGAAGCCAGCCAGCTCAGGAAGCTGGGCCAAGGCAGCAGCAGTGTGGAGTAGGAGGCCAGCAACACCTTGGAAAGAAGTAATGGCCCAGGGAATCTGAGGAGGCATTGGGAGTTTGTCCAATACTCATACATAACATCAAATCCAAAGTGAGTGTGTACCTTTACCCTGCCCTAGATAATACGTTTAACCTCATTCACCTCCCTCCTGACTTTTATATTTTTATTGTTGTATATTTCTTTTTTTTCTGTTTCACAAGAAATTAATACAGGGTTACCTCAGTTTTCAAACATCTCCATTGACGAACATTTCTGGTTACGAACGCTGTAAACCCAGAAGTAAATGCTTTGGTTTTTGAACCCACCTCGGAAGTCGAACATGCCACGTGGCTTCCACTGAAGGCAAGATCCTGAGGCCCAGCTGTCGGCTGTGGATCCCTCGGTTTTCCAACGTTTCAGAACTTGAGCGGCCTTCCAGAGCGGATTACATTAAAAAACCAAGGTACCACTGTACTTGTTTTAATTAGTCACTGTTTATTAAGATTTAATCATTTACCACTTTTGTGGCTCTTCATCTCTTCTTACATCTCAGATCTGTTTAAGATTGTTTTCCTTCACCTGAAGTACATCCTTCAGAATATACTACTGTTCAGCCCTGGCCAGTGCAGTTCAGTGTTTAGAGCTTGGGCCAGCGCACCGAAGGGTGGAGGGTTCTATTTCCAGTCAACAGCACGTACCTAGGTTACCAGTTTGATCCTGCACATGCAGGAGGCAACCAATCAATGTGGCCTCACACTGATGTTTCTCTTTCTCTCTCTCTCCCCTCCCTCCCTTCCATGCTCTCTAAAAATCAATGGAAAAAATATCCTTAGGTGAGGATTAACAAAAATAAATAAATAAAAATAAAATTGATTGTGATAATGGTTTTTTAATTTTGTGAAATGCTAAAAAACACTGAACTATACTTTAAATTGGTAAATTGTATGGTATGTGAAGTATAGCTCAATAAATCTGTCTTAAAAATGAAACACTGGTCGGGCGTGGCTCAGTGGTTGAGCATCAACCTAGAATCCATGAGATTGAGGTTCGATTCCTGGTCAGGGCACATGCCCAGGCTGCAGGCTCGATTCCTAGTCGGGGGCTTGCAGGAGGCAGCCAATCAATGACTCTCTCATCATTGATATTTCTATATCTCTCTCTCCCTCTCCCTTCCTCTCTCTGAAATCAATAAAGATATATTTAAAAAAACACACAAAACACTGGGAGAATACACAGGGAATAATAAAAGTGGTTGCCTGGGGTGGGGTGTAGAAGAGTGGATGAACACAGGGTTGAGAGTGAGAACTATTTTATAATATTTTTATATAGTTTAAGTTTTTGAGCCATATAAACAAATAAACTATTCAAAAATAATAATATTTATGGAATCCTAGGAAGTTGTGAAGCAAATGAAAATAATGTAGCTAATGTTAGCTGTTAGTTGAGAGCCTGAATAATAACACATTAGCTGTCCTGTTCATCAAGAAAGGTAGTGAAGTGTGGAGCTGGAGGTTAGATGGGAACTGTGATAAATTTCCTCTTCATTTATTTGGGTCATGGTTTAAGCACTGCATTTTCCACCTATATGTGGCAATATGTGCACTGTTTCTATATTGTTGTGACTCTTGCCCTTGAGAATAACTATATACAAAGTAAGGTGATGGTACTATTTGAAGGCTTAGTACATACAGACTCAGAAAGGTCCCTGGACTGAAAAATCTACCTCTTATCATAAGTGAGGACAGGGAAAGACCAAAGAAAGAGACTGGCCACCCCAGGCTGGTAATTAGTAGAGTTTATGAAGGGAAACTTATATACTAGGTGTGTCTTGAGCAGCTGCAAGACAAAATGGCCTGTGCTGCTTAGAAGGTGCCAAAAGATCACATACAACCAGGCAGAACAGTCACCAGAACCGGTACGTGGCTAGTTCTAGGTTTGGGGCAATGCTGTACAGGCCTGGCCAGGTCAGGACAATGGCCTGTTCCAGGAACCAGCATGTAGTGGGAGGCAGGGGAGGAGGACTGGTTTATGTCAGAAGGAATGTCAGTTATGATCAGACAGTCTCCAGGTTGGGTTAGTGGGAAGCAATCTCCCTTTCCTGGTCCTGGGCCAATAGGTAGGTCATGCAGCCATCTCGTCTTGGAACAGTCTCCTTGTCCTCCAAGAGGCGGAAGAAATGTGATTAGATTAAAAACATGTAAGTCTTGTACAAGGTGTCCCCAAAAATGTTATACACACTTTGAATGATTATAAAGTCAGTGTTTATCAACATAAATTTCATTTTCAAAATTAAGTGAGTAATCAGCTGTTAAAGTGTGTATGCATTTTTTTGGTACACCCTATACTTAAGGACCATGCATGACCCACTATATACCTGAAGGAATGTCATAATCAAAACATTAACATATTTCAAAACAGTGAGCAGACAGCAGGACTTCTTCCCAGGACAGCAGTAGGAAAGAAGAACCATAAATGTTTTCTAAGATTTCTCAATACTTCGTAACTTCCTCATGTTCCATCTATGTTCAGCTGTCTGTATTTCTGTAACAACTGACAAATTCATAACATGACATAATTTCAAGTGGTGAGAAAGAAAGGGCACAGCCAGTCCTGGGAAGTGGGGTGGTAGAATTGCAGGCCTTTAGTGGGTGTCAGAGTTTAGGAGAAAAGGCAAGAAGTTGGAGTCCGCAGGGCCTATAGTAAGGAATAAAAGGGCATGGGAGATTTTCACACTTCTGGATAGCAGCCCTAGGAGTGTTCTGTTCTTTAAGAATAGAAGATTCGCCCAGCCAGCGTGGCTCAGAGGTTGAGCATCAACCTATTATCCAGGAGATCCCAGTTCAATTCCTGGTCAGGGAACATGCCCAGGCTTTGGGCTCGATCCCCAGCAGGGGGCATGCAGGAGGCAGCCAATCAATGACTCATCATTGATGTTTCTCTCTCCACCCCCCCCTTTGCCTTCCTCTCTCTTTGAAATAATAAAAATAAAAATAAAAGAACAGAAGATTCATTATTTTCTTTCCATGTTTTCTAATTCTGTTCTGGGGAGGCCTATTACAAGGTGGACTGGGTGCTCTGATGAGGTCCTCATAGGATTTAAATTCTTGATTTCACCTGATTAAGTTGCAATTTGAGTCACACCTCAGGCCAGGGCCCTGACAATAATACACAGTTTGTTCATTTATTAATTCACTCAGCAAACCTGTACATCTGCTCTCTATCTGACAGGACCCTAGGCCATAGGATGTAGACACCAAAAAAAAGACAAACCCTAACGTCATGGATCTGGAATGCTCCCCCCTAGAAGGGACACCTATAAAGAATTCAGTGTGAAAGTGCGAGTCATATGCCAAGTGCTATGGGAATGCAGAAGAGGAGCTGTGAGATGGCCTTGGGTGCACATTCAGTGCTGGCATCTGGAAAGCACTTGTTCCGTCTGAGACAGGCAGCCTCTAGATGCTGGGCTCAGGGGTAGAAAAGAGACGTAGTTTTCACTATCATCTTTTTGTACCTTTTGAATTTTATACATGCGTATTTGTTACATAGTTTTTTTTAAAAAAGTTTTTTAAAGGTATTTTGATATTTAAAAATAAACTGAAAAACTGGATTTTTAAGTGAATTATCTTGTTTTTTAAAAGAAATATATTTTTTATTGATTTTTTTTTTTTTTTTTTAAGGAGAGAGAGGGAGATGGAGAGGGAGAGAGAGAAACATCATCCATCGGCTGCCTCCTGCATGCCCCTCATGGGAGATTGAGCCCAAACTATGTCCTGACTGGGAACTCAACCAGCAACCTCTTGGTGTATGGGTCTATGCTGAACCACTGAGCCACATCATCTGGGCTAATTCTCCTGTTTTAAATGTTGGTATCTAGCTTAAAAACCACACAGGCTAAATAAAACATCTCAGGCCACCAGTTTACAACCCATCTCTTCTCTATTCCTTATCATCAGGGCAGATAATCTTAATTTTCACGTGTCAGGCATTCCTAGGATATATCCTTCTTTGGGGATAATTCAATTTAGATGTTCAGTATTAAGAATTGACTCTTTGGGGTGGGTAAAAAGGAGAAAAGAATGGAGTCTGGAGGAAGTGGGATCTTTTAAGGATCTCTATAATCAGTGATTCTAAAGATTGTGTCTGGACTAGAGCATCAGCATCACCTGGGAACAAGTTAGAAATGCAAATTCTTGGTCCTATCAGACCTATTGAATCAGAAATTCTGGGGTGACCCTACCAATCTGTGTTTTAACAAAGCCTCCAGTTGATTGTGATAAATGCTAACGTATGAAAACCACTGCCTCTGTTATAGACGTACATAGGTAACTTAAAAACAGATCCTGGTAAAAGAATTCTACTGAACTTGAAAAAAATTAACTCAGGTAACTACAGAAAACAAACCCCAAACACAGAATTGTTTTTCATTTTTTTAGATTCTCTTTAAACATTAGTGGATTTGTATGTATACTTAGAATTTTTCAAAAATCAAACTGAGTTTTAATTAGCAAACAATAAAGTGCTCCCATTTTTAGTGGGTGGCTTGATGTATACACCCATGTGAGGACCAGCACAGTCGAGAGAACATTTTCACCCACCCAGTTGGCCCCTGGAAATCGAGGGACTAATCTGTGCTCCAGACAGTTGGCTCCCTTTACGCCATGATCAGCTTATTTGATAGACAGGTTTTAAACCTGAGGCAAAAAAAAAAGAGATGATTATTTTTTTAAATTTTGAATAAACTTTCAGCTGACTTAGAGGAGCTAGTGTGGGCGCTGGCACCCCAAACAAAGAACCCTTCAAGAACTGGTCATTTTATGCCCAAGTGTACTCTCAGCTACGAGCTCTGTCTTTTCAGGTAACTTAAAATAATTTTCTAAGGTGTTCCTCTGACATTTAGGGCTTTTCCAGGGTAAATCCTGGCTCCTCGATCTGGCCTCCATAAAGTAAAGGGCTTTAGGTTCAAGTCACAGTTATGTGGTTTTTAGTTAGATTTTTAACCATAATTCTGACCAATCAGGTTTTAAATGTTCTACTTCTTAAACATAAATTGAAAACTGAGAATCAGTGTACATTTGAGGATGGCTGGAAATGTGAAAAATGAACACCAAGGTAAATGGTAATAGCCTTGGAGAAAACAGATAATTTAGGAGACAGATGAACTAAACCTTAGTATGAATAAAGTTAATTTGTTTATCAGTCCAGGACCCACAAAATGGTAGCCACCCTAGTGGCCTGGCCCAAGTGACAAATCTAAACCTGAGTCAGCCTGCACTTAGGGGACACACCTGTCATGGAGACCTAACATACACCAATCACGATCCTCCAACTTAGCTTTAGCTAGTCTACCTTCCCCTGGGAAATGGGACTGTGGACCTATAAGGAAATCCCTGCTCCCTGAGCCTGTCCTGCTCTGTTTCCCGTTGCCTCTTCTCTTTAAAACTTGCTCTTGCCCCAGATCCCTGGGGAACAGTGCTCCACTGCTGTGAGGGAGGCCCTGCCTCCGCCAATCCATGGGCTGTTCTCCCATGAATTAGGACAGGGAACTCCTTATTAACTTGTTTTGGTCATTTGACAGTGTCATGGGGGAGAGATTCAGAAAGATTTTGTTGGTTAAAAAAAATAAGATGTCATGAAAATAAAGAACAGAGAACAAGAAAGAGCTGTGAGAAATTAAAACTATAATTGTTGAAATTAAGAATTACTATTGGAGGGTTGGAAGATAATGGAGAGAAAAGCTCCCAGAAAGTAGAGCAAAAGCACTAAGATCCCTCTCTTCCTTCCTCTTTCTCTAAAATCAATAAAAATATATCCTCGAGCCCTAGCTGATTTGGCTGTGGTTACAGCGTCGGCCCATGCACTGAAGGGTCCTGGGTTTGATCCCGGCTAAGGGCGTGTAACTCAGTTGCAGGCTTGTCCCAGGGCACATGTGGGAGGCAACCAATCGATGTGTCTCTCTCACATAGAAGTTTCTCTCCATCTCTCACCTCTCTCACATTGATGTTTCTCTCCCTCTCTCTCTCTCTCTCACACTGATGTTTCTCTCCCTCCCTCTCTCTCTCACANTGTTTCTCTCCCTCTCTCTCTCTCTCTCACACTGATGTTTCTCTCCCTCTCTCCCTCTCTCACATTGATGTTTCTCTCCCTCCCTCTCTCTCTCACACTGATGTTTCTCCCCGCCTCTTTCTCACTCTGATGTTTCCCTCTCTCCCTCTCTCTCTCACACTGATGTTTCTCTCCCTGCCTCTCTCTCTCACACTGATGTTTCCCTCTCTCTCTCTCTCTCTCTCTCCCTTCCACCCTCTCTGAAAAGCAATGGAAAAAATATCCTTGGGTGAAGATAAAATATAAAAATAAAATAAAAAATATATTCTCTGGTGAAGGTTAAGAAAAAAAGAGAGAATAGCAGACAGTAGGAAATCATCAAAGAAAATCAGAGGATAATGGCCTAGGGCTGGTGGGACACACACATGTCCAGATTGAAAAGGCCCACTGAGTGCCCAGTACAATGAGTGTAGGAAGACCCAGACCTACATACAACATTTTGAAATTTTATAACCCCAAGGATAAAAGAGAAAATCCTAAAAGATACCAGAAAGATAGAAACTATCACCATCAAAGAAATAAGACTTACACTAGCACTGTGAGCACTAACCAATCTTAACTGTTTAGAATAAAACACTTCCTGTTGTGGGACGTGGAAGGTTTTTTCATTCCTTTTGGGGTCTGACTAAGCTTTTTTTACTGAATACCTTAGGGCATTTACTGGAAATTTCTCAGTGAACTGCAATTTGTTTTCAGTTTTAGTTCCTCAAATATTTTCTCATTGCTTCCCATCGAAGGACAAACAGAGCATTTGTACTCAGGCCACTCATTCTCCTTCCATTTGCCTGGGACTCTGGATAAACCTCTAGGTAAGTAAATTACTATCTCTGGCAAAGGTGCTTTACTCCCACACCGAAAGTTATGGCCCTCTCATTCTCTTATTTTTGTTTCTCTGGAGGCAAGAGGACAGGTACTATAGTCACCCAGACCGGTTTAAATTTTAGGTCGACAACATCGTTACCTCCGCTGTCACTCATAGCTCTTGTCAAAGGACATGAAATATGGAGAGGGCCTTAGAGATCTCTCCTCCCCAGAAATGGCCTCCTGATTAGTAAAACTGACCACCGAACCAGGAAAATTGATCCTGACTGGTCTGTTGCAACCCTGTGCTTATTTATCTCTGGGGAGGCCTGGGGCCATGGTGCTGTCTCTGGGCCAAATCTGAGCAGAATGTGCTAAGTAGTAAACAATGCAGCCTTGTGTGGGGGTCTGAGGCAGAGCAGGGCAGCCTGTACCAGCTTTTTTTTATGTTTTGTTTTGTTTTTTAATCCCCACCCAAGGATTCCCCGCCCCCAATGCTTTTTCAGAGAAAGTGGAAGGGGGAGAGAAACAGCGATGTGAGACACACACATGGATTGGTTGCCTCCGGGGAACTGGGCCTGGAATCTGAGCCCCCTCTGATGTTTGCCTGTTTTTCATTTTTATTTTTGTATTTTATTCTTTACCTGTATTGAAGTCTTATGTAAGTATTCTATGCAGAGGCCTGAGAGTTTTCTCACTTTCCCAACCCTGTGTAATTGCTGAAGACAGCACTGCGGATGGGCTAATAGAAACAGTTTTGGCTGGTGAGGAATCCCTGGTTTGAATTCATTCATTCAAGTACTGTAACTACTGATAGGAGGGAAAGCACAGCAGTGGAATTTAAAGATGGTCAATCCAGAGCCAGCGGAAATAACTAAGTGAATTAAAACAGAAATTCAGATAGAGGTGAAGTCAGCCAAGAATACTGTGCTTCCGCTGGTTTTGGCTGCTTTGGTGAAAATGAAAGTAACTAAGAGCCTTAGGCTGTCAAGACCACCAAGCTTTGGCGGGTTCCTTGTCTGAGGGGAAGAAACCTGAGGACAAAGGAGAGGTGGGCAGGTATTTCTTCTGGTCAGAATGAGACCCTCATCTGATAGGTAACCACTAAAGAGGCTCTACAGGGACAGTGCAGGAAGAGAATTGAAACAAAGGAGCTAATCAATCAAAAAGCTAAGCAACCCTGTGGACTGGTACAGAGAGGAAACTGCTGAAACAGACTTAAGGCATTACTGACACATGAGTGCTTTTCCTTGCCTCAGGTACTGCGAAGTGAAGGGCGTGCTTGGTCTTAATCAAGACCTGTTCGCTGCCACTTTTGCAGAACTATGGGTAGATGAGCAAACTGCAAATCAGCTGAGCTGGAAAAGGCAGGGGCACATAACACACAGCTTGCAAAGTGGAGCCATCTAATTCTACCTGGGGTGTTACACGGAATACCCCTGAGGCTCCTGAAGTGTTGAGGACACAGGCAAGCATCTCTGAACCTCTTCTATGACTACACTAAGGTGTCCTCTATTTTATGCCTTTGACATAAGTGATGATTGATGCTGTGATAAGAGGGCCTCCAGCCCCTTGGATGGCACATGCGACCTTACTGGTGGGCGGGCAGGATGAAGTGAGAGGGACTGTAGCTGACCTACTAGCATATTTGCTCTGACTCAGGCTGAAAGATTGTGGGGAAAGTGAAAACACTTAGGCTCTCTTGCCACCTGCCAGCAGAAGGCCTCAGTTATGTAAACATGATATAGCACAGTTGTAACAGATGTCATGTTAACTGACTATTGTTCTGGTTACTATAAAACTGGCTGGGGACCTTCCGGGGTGCTGTTTGTCCCCAGGAGAATGGTTTGTCCCCCATGTATGCCCAGCTGGCCACCACTGGGAGAAGATGGTTTGTTTCTCGTGTATGTTCAGCCCCGCCATCAGCTGAATGAAGATATACCTCATTCTCCTTGGGCTCCCCAGTTTTTCTTTGGACTGTCCAGATCCAGTGTGAACCTCCTGGCCGTGATCATCTGCATTACAATGATGCACAGGAGATTGGTGTCATTCAGAAGAAATGACACAGTAAAAACAGAGGGGTTGAAGAAAATCTCAGGACTAGTCCAACTAGTGGAAATGTCTGTTAACCTGCTTTTCTTTCCCTTCTCAGAAAATGGCCTCTCAGGAGGAGGCTGACGAGGAGAGGATTTCCCAGCATGAGGAAGCCCTCCTCCCAGAGCTGTCTGCTCTTCTAGGCATTGACGCGGTTCACTTTGTAAAGGAAATGGAAAAAGAGGAACAGGAAGAACGAAAAAAAATGCAGAAAGGCTTTAACTCAGAAATGCGCAGTGAAGCAAAAAGGTTACAGAGTTTTGTGGCCTATGACCCCTACAGCTCATGGACACCCCAGGAGATGGCAGCGGCTGGGTTTTATTTTACTGGCGTAAAAGCTGGGGTGCAGTGCTTCTGCTGTAGCTTAATCCTGTTTGGTACTAGCCTCCAGAGATCCCCCATAGAGGACCACAAGAAGTTTCGTCCACATTGTGAGTTCCTTTTGGGCGAAGATGTTGGCAACATTGCCAAGTATGACGTAAGAGTTAAGAACCCAGAGAACAAGCTGAGAGGAGGCAAAGCCAAGTACCAAGAAGAGACGGCCAGGCTTGAATCCTTCAAAGATTGGCCATTTTATGTCCAAGGGACATCCCCAAGGGGGCTCTCAGCTGCTGGCTTTGTCTTCACAGGTAATCTGAAGTCATTTTTGTAACTATTTCTCTGGAGTTTTAAGTTTAGGTTCCATATTTCAGTTGCAATATTCTGTGAATCTTTCCTCACTTGTTAAATGTATTAGCTATAAGGTCTACTTTATTAAAATTCAACTGCAGTAATTTTACTTCTGCTTTGTTTCATACAGCATATTATATGTGTGTGTGTGTGTGTGTGTGTGTGTATAAATAATTAGTTACTTTTCCTTACATTCGAACTTTAGACAATACTGACAACATTCTTAAGGTCCTTAAAATAAATCATGAGGTCAGCGAGCTGGACCCCAGTCTCCTCCCCTATCTTCCTTTTGCTGCAGATCTTCCTTTGGTTCTTTTATTTTAAATATATCTTTATTGACTTCAGAGAGAGGGAGGGAGAGGAAGAGGGAGGGAGAGAGAGAGAGATAGAAACATCAATGATTGGCTCCCTCCTGCACACCCCCAACTGGGGATTGAGCCCGCAACCCAGGCATGTGACCTGACTGGGAACCAAAGTCTCCTGGATCCTAGGTCGATGCTCAACTGCTCAGCCACGCCTGGCCGGGCCTTGGTTGGTTTTACTCTTAGGGCTAACTCTAATGTACAGGGCAAACTGCATTTAAGAAAACTGCAGTTTGAATTGTCCTAGGCATGCCATAAATGTTGTGACGGATGTGCATGAGAATGATAATAACAATAACAGCTATTGTTTACTGAGCACCTACTTGATGCTAGACTCGGATTAAGCACTAATTCTAATCCAACAAACTGGCCCCTTCCCTCCATTTCACACTTGAGTTGATTGAGGCTCAAGGAGTTTAAAAACATGTCTAAGTGTGCACAGAAATTTCATTGCAAAGCTACAACTTAGCTTTTCTAACTGTGCTTTACCTCAGGAGTTCTGGAGTTCCTCTGCTTCCCCACTACTTCAGCTGTGAGAGCTCAAATAGCAAAACACCAGCTCTAGGAACACCTGGCGGGCATATTGATTAAACAGGTTAGAGTTCTATAAGTCGAGTAAGGCCTTGGCTGAGGGGTAGGTCCTAGGCTTAGAAAATGGTCTTTTAGGGAAGTGGGGCTGTGGATGGAGATTCAGCTAGATGACAGTGAGTGGACAGACATGTCGGAGCAAGTCTCACTCATGCACAGAGCAGTCAACTCACAGACACGCACTTTCTGGACTTACCCATGGTGCCACTGCTGGGCAATCTAAATGTTTTCCTTTACGCACAGGGAAACGGGACACTGTGCAGTGTTTTTCCTGTGGAGGATGTCTAGGAAATTGGGAGGAAGGAGATGATCCTTGGAAGGAACATGCGAAGTGGTTCCCCAAGTAAGTAGATAAATCCCCCCTATCCTCTCTCTCTCTCTCTCTCTCCCTCTCTCACTTTTTTAAATGAAACAAAACTAAAGGCAAGAGTTGGCCTCCTCGAGCAGCATCTTCGGTTTTGAGCTTTTTCCTATTCAAACCTGGAACATTCCGGAATCTATTCAAACATTTACTCAAGCAAGAAAGGCCTGATCACATCATGAAAGTTTTGAATCATGTAACTATAAATTAATTTCTTAAATGTTGTTTTATTATCCTAAATACTAAGACATGTTTTGCCAAGTAGAAGTTTCGGGATCTTCCCTAATTGATAAATAAGAATAATTCACATAGGGATGATGTAAAATGGCATATAAAGGAGGTCAGAAAGTGAAACAATAGTTAAGACTTTATCACAAATGGTTTCACGTACTGCTGATCACATACCAAACAAAAATGTCTTATTTTAAGGGGTGAATGGGGAAAGAAAGGGGTCATCTGTAATTCTTTCAACAATAAAGATACATTAAAAAATATATATTTTAAGAAGTCACAGTTTGGAATGTTGCAATGGTCTTTAGTTCCCTGCTTAGAAAAGAAATTAATTATTTTTAATGCTATACTTACTAGTATTTTCTACATGACTTTGTATCTACCAAATACATATTCATTCTCTACATGACTTTGTATCTACCAAATACATATTCATTCTCTTTACAATTTCTTAAACTTCCACTGTGGAAAATTTCAAAGGTAGAGAGAATAGTATAATAAACATTTATTAACACATGGCCAAGTCTTCTCTTACCCATTTCTCACCCATCTTTTCCCAGAAGTAATAATAATAATAGCCATATTATATTGAAGTCCACCCCAGACATCATACAATGTCATTTGTTGATATTCTTATATTTTTGAGTTACATACTAAAATATATTTAAGAAACAAAACCACAATATCATTATCTCAAAAAGGATTAACAATAATTTCTCAATACATATCGTCAAATATCTGAGTCATTGTTCATTGTCCCCCATCTCTCTCTCCCTCTTTACTGTTGGTTAATTTGAATCAGAATCCAAAGTCTACATATTACACTTAATTGATATGTCTCTTAAGATTTTTAATTTATAGATTTCCTCTTTTTCTTGTCATTTACTCATTAAAGAAACCATGTAATCTGTCCTGTAAAATTCCCTACACTCTAGGTTTAGCTGAATCTGTTTCTATGGGGTCATTTAATGTGTTTTTCTACTTCCTATATTTCCTATAACCTAGTACTTGTCTAGAAATGTGATCAGGCTTATATTCTATTTCTCTAACAACTATTTGTCACACACCTACTACATGCAAAGAAGTTATTCGTTGGATCATAGGCCAACCACAAAATAACTGGGTGGTTATGTATGTTTATAAGTCATCTTGCACATGGATAGCCATGCTCACAAAAATGGAAGGATGTCTATGATATATTAAGCAAAAAAAGCAATATGCAAAATAATATGTGTAGTGTAAGCCCTTAAAAATGTATAAAGCCACTCAACTTATATACAGATGTATTTGAAAATATATAGAAAAAGTTATGAAAAGATATGAACCAAACAATAGATCAATCTGGGTTTGTCAAGAGATGGAGTGGAGAGGAATTTTCATATTTTACTTTGTTCACTTCTGTTTTGTTTAAATTTTGGAAACAAATGTGAATTATTTTTCAGGTTGAAAAGAAAAAGTGACAGGGGTGAGAGGGAGGAAGGGAACAAAGGAGGAGAGGAGAAAGAGGTAGAGAGAGAGAGATGGGGAGGGAGGAAGGGAGAGGAAAGCTCTTCCTGACAAGCAGATGAGACAATCATAGGGATGCTTGAAGCCAGATTGCTAAATATTTTGACTGTCACTCTGGCTCCTTGACCAATCAGAATGGACCCAACCAATCATACTCAGTGTTGACATGTACCATACGGACATGTACCAGATGAGTGTCAGCCCTGGCTCAGTATTCCTGGCTCTTGGGGACCTGTCTCAGCTCTGGGCTCAGTTCAGGCTTCACTTATACTCCGGGCCACCATGCTTAGTGTCATTGGGTTATATACTGGACAACTCCCAGTGACACCATTCACATAGACCATCATGTGACTAGTACCAACTAGAGTGGCACATCCTGTCTGGAGTGGCTCTGGTGTACCTTCTCTGACATAGGGCTGAGGGAAAGGTAAGAAGCATAGGAGAGAAGATATCAGCCCAGTACCAGAGTCAGAAAGGGAAGGCCTGCTGATTCAAAGAAAGGCAGGACAGAGTGCAGAAGCTTAGGAGATATGCAGAGCTGCTTCCTAACTACCAGACCTTAGACAAGTAACTCTGAGTCTCATATGTGAAAGTGCAGGTGGTAATACATAGCTTGTAGGGTTGTAAGGATTATAAAGTTCTAGGGAGCAAACGCCTTGTACAAACTATTATGTATTATGTGAAGATGACCAACTGTTCCACGTTTCCTCTGTTTGCCATCATTAGCACATGGTCAGCCAGTAAATTTCAGAGCTGGAATTAGAACTAAGAATTCCCAAGTTTCTCATTGATTGCTCTGTCCTTAGCTGCTTGGACTTCAATTTTATAGACTGGCTTTGTTGCTTCTTTTATAAACTACATACAAAATGTCTGAGTACTCTTACACTTTTTAAAGAGTAGTACTCAACAAATGTAAGTTGATTTTATTGTAGTTTTTGAAAAAAGTACCATGTATTGAGTGCCTCCTCAATCCATACTAAGCACGTGGGCAGAGCACAACCCCACCCATCATGTTCTAGGAAGGTTATGTGCAGACTTAAGGCAATCCCTGGGAGGACTTGTACACCTACAAACTGGGGACCCTCTGATAGTGCACACAGACCCAGGGAAAAGCCCAGAGACTGAACATCTGCCTCCATCAGTGGAGGGCAGGGGAAGATGGAAGAAAGAGGGTGGTCGCTCCAGTGTGGTAATTAATAGAGTTTATTAAGGGAAACTTACATATGAGGCATGCCGTGGGCAGCAGCAAGGCAAAATAGGTCCCCATGCCACTTGGCAGGTGCTAGAGAATTATATAGGTGGTAAAAGAGGGTTGTAGTCACAGATACTAATATGTGAATGCTACCCCGTATGAAAACTACTTCACATGCTTGACCAGGTCAGGACAACAACCTGTTCCAGATACCAGCATGTTACAGGGGTGCTGATTTATGTTAGGGTGAACATCAATTATGATCAGAGAATCTCTGAGGAAGGTCTCTGGAAAGCACCGTCTGTTCTGGCCTGGATCCAGCTTGCAGGACAGACACTAGTCTGGCCATGGAACAGTCCCCTCCTCTACACCTGGCTGCCCAGAAAATGGTGGCTCTATATGGTCTCGAATGGAGTTCATTTTCTAAAGTAATTACAAGAGAACAGTGGCAAGATTGGACACAGCCCCCTTAGTGACAGAACTGGGGCTAACATTCTGGCCCAATTCCCAGCCCACTAGTTACTACACCACCACTAGAAAGAAACCTTAAATTTGATTAGAGGAATTTTATTTTCAAGTTAATTTAAAAATTGCTTTTCTTTTGTGGAAAGAAATATGATTTTTAAATGGTGTTTAATGTGGTCTTTTATAAAAATTCAAAATTTATTAATTTCCATTGTTTTTTAAGGAGTGGCAATGTGTTTTGTTCAGTAGATGAAATGTATTATTTTACATAGTTCCCCTTATTGCCAGTAACTTTCACATAACCACAGGAATTAGATTTATTCACCATAGTTTAATTTAACAAACAAACAAAAACTCTAGCCTATACATTACTGTAAATCAGTCTCTTTGTATTATACATTTTGTTTCAAAAGAAAATATAATCTGAAGATTTAATTTTAAACTATTCATGCTGTCACCAATAGAAATAAAGAATAACTATATGAGAACAATGATGATTCTCTTAAGTTTTGGGGTTAGTTTTTTGAGAGTTTTATTTGAAGTTGAATAAAATTCACCATTTTTAAGTGTACAATTCAGTAAGTTTTAACAAATGTTCATTGTGTAACCATCACCACAGTAATAGAGATATAGGACATCTCTATCACAGTATTGGGGTAAATTTTAATTGTTTATTGATTATAGATGTGAATTTCTTCAAAGTAAGAAATCCTCAGAAGAAATTGCCCAGTACATTCAAAGCTACAATGGATTTGTTGGTGTCACGGTAATGCACAATAGCATTGTTTTTCTCAAGTTGACTTTTGACTACCTAATAATATCTGAATTAGAAGGGGGTGAGCTTTTGGGGGGACGGGGTCATGGAGTCTACTTCTTTCTTGTTCCCTCCTTTCCTACCCCTACTCATCTGGCAGAGTGAAGAAAATCCCATTCTTTTGCTAAACTAGAGCCCTTAAAAGTCTTTTTTCCAGGGCTGGCTTTTGATTGGTCTGTCAGCCTTCCTCATAGTCTTGTCTTCTTTGATTGAGGTCACCTCCCCTACCTCCCTTGGCCGTCCCCATCTGAATGTCTGTGTAAGGTATTGGGACCATGTCACCATCATCCTCAGAGGGCCTCAGAATTACTGTCTTCTGTCTGGTTACTCTATAACTATTATATTAGTAAGGACTCCCTAGTGGCAGGTCATGGAAAACCCAACCCAAATTGGCTTAAGCAAAAAGGAAATTTATTGGCTAACATGACTCAGAAGATGTGAACCCTGCAGAGAGAGCTTGACCTGAAAGTGGGGGAGAAGTGTCTCCTGAGAAAGAAATCAGGTGCAGTTATCAGAGAAGGGTCAGTTGCTCAATACCTAGTGTCCTTCTAGCTCCAGCTTCCTTCCTTTATCTCATCCTTCTTCTCTAGTCAAAGTGCACCCGTGGTATCCACATGGAAATCAGCTTTGGAGCTAGATCTCTGGAAACAGTCACCGCAGAAGGCTTCCTGTTAGGTAGCACTGCAGAAAAAATTCCAACATTAATAGAAACAAAAGTTTAAAGAGCCGTCTCCAACCCTGCCGCTCAATCCAATGAAACTCTTTACTTGGGGGTGGGGGAAGTTCTTTCAACTTTTATTCATAGATACGTGTATGCTCTAAGTCAAAGCCAAAAATTCTGACTTTCTTCAGGGAGAACATTTTGTGAATTCCTGGGTCAAGAGAGACTTACCTGCGGCATCAGGTGAGCGCCCAGACGCGTCCCGGACGCGCTGCTTGTTTCTCTCTCTTTTGTTCTCTTTGTCCTCATGCTTGTTGACCCTTCCCTTTTCTTCCTTGTGTCACTGCGCCATGGTCATTACAAACATTTTTTCATAAGATTTCTGGTTTTCTGGAGTGACAGGTTTTTGTGGTTGGTTTTTCTTTGTTTGCTTTTTTAAAGCATAAATGAACATAGGGAAATATGGCAGGGTTGGGTCCCTGACTGACACATGCCTTAAAAACAATTAAATTTTCTGGATAAAATGGTCTAGAAAACATTCTTTTTTTTAAACAAAAAAAAATATTTTTAACCCTCATCCAAGGATATTTTTTCCATTGCTTTTCATAGAGAGTGGAGAGGGGAGGGAAGGAGAGAGAGAGAGAGAGAGAGAAACATTGAGGTGAGAGACACATCCACTGGTTTCCTCCTGCTTCCTCCTGCACTCACCCTGACCAGGGCCAGGACCCTTCAGTCTGTGGGCCAAAACTCCAACCACTGAGCCAAACTGNGAAACATTGAGGTGAGAGTCACATCCATTGGTTTCCTCCTGCTTCCTCCTGCACTCACCCTGACCAGGGCCAGGACCCTTCAGTCTGTGGGCCAAAACTCCAACCACTGAGCCAAACTGGCTAGGGTGAAAACATTCTTAAATGGATCAGTGTCTGTTAAGAAATTGTGAGATAATAGGAAGAAAAAAATATATATATATATATAATCTGACCCCAGTTCCTGGTACAGGACTCCCCAAACCCTCACAATTTCCTGAGTGATAAGAGCACTAGGAGCATCTTTTGTTCTCGTGAGGTGACTCTGGGTGGGTTCCTGGATGACTCCTGGATGGGGGCTGGTCACCAGAAAGACCAAACCATGATAAGAAGCTTAGAATTTTCAGTCCCTCCCCCCATTCCCCAGAGAGGGGAGCGGGGCTGGAAAAGGAGTTAATTATTAACATGTCTAAGTGATGGAAATCCCAGTAGCCCAGGGTTCATAGAGCTTCCAGGTGGGTGAACACATCCACGTACTGGGAGGGTAACACATCTCAACTACATGGGGATGGAAGCTCCCATTCTTAGGGCCCTCCCAGGCCTCACCCTATCTCTTCATCTAGCTGTTCATCTGTATCTTTTATCATAGCCTTTAATAGACTAGTAAACATAAGTGTTTCTCTAAGTTCTATGAACCACTGCAGTAAATGAAGTGAAGTGGGGGCAATCTTGTAGGACTGAGCCCTTAACTTGTGGGAGCTGATGCTGTCTCCAGGTAGAGAGGGTCAGAATTCAGTTAAATTATAGGGCACCTAGCTGGTGTCAGAGAATTGGTTAGTGGGAGAGAATTGCTTAGTGGGGGAAAATCACCACACATCTGGTGTCAGAGGTGTTGTGTAGTGTGAGAGTAAAGGAGACACCCTGGAGGAAAAGACAGATTTTTCCAATACATTAAGCATAAGCAGACTAAAAACAAAGTGACGGCAGGAATCCCGGGGTTAAGCAGAACATCGAAGCAAACTTTCATCTTTAGAAAATTTGCAAAACCAAGTAGGTTTAATTTTCAAGTCCTTATAGGGCACAGATCACAGGAACCAAAACCCGGAGCCCACCCAAGATGGGAAATCTAATGGAGACCACTCCATTGAGTGAACACCCTAAAGAACAAGAAATACATCTGCCTGCTTTTAAGGGAGCTACAAAGAAAATTTGTTTTTCTCCAATTGTCACACTAAATTGTGGAGGGGTATCTCCTTTAGCTTTTTCGTTCATTTTATTCTGATGCTAGATGATGAAGAGATAATTTTAGAAGGTTTTATTATAGAAAATATTGAACATCTACAGAAATAAGATAACAGTATAAACTCACCATATAGCCACCACTCTGCTTCAATAATTTAACACATGGCCAATCTTGCTTCATCTAAACCCCTTTCTTCTTTTTAACCCCTCTTCCAATTATACTGAAGCCAACTGCAAGCACCATACCATTCTATCTGTAAATATGAAGTGATAACTTGAACACTGATACTTGCAATATCAAAACTTGCTGGTCTCACCATATGCCTTTTATTCAAGCTTATTGCAATGACAGCATCTTTGCTAATGAAGAACTACGACTGGACACTTTTAAGAAGTGGCCCCATGCATCCCCTGTGGGTCCTGCAGCTCTGGCCAAAGCAGGTCTTTTCTACACAGGTGAGTCAGTAGTGCATGCCAAGCACCTGCCTTGCTGCTCATTCAAACCCCGCATACACTTTATGACCCTGGGCTTGTATTTATCTAGTCTCAACAATCTCCACTCTTTTAGTCTTTCCTTACATATCCTTTTTCCTTGCTGTGTCAGAAACCCTCTCCCAGTTTTCCACAGCTCCCTTAGGTGGAGAAGCTCCAACTTGAAGCCTTAAGGTCTAGACTAACAATGAATACAATTACAAGTATCCTCCACTTTTCAAAAGTTAGCTTCATACCACTTTGTTTTTATGAAAGACATACACATTAGTAGGGGCAGACCTCGGAGATACTGTGGGTTCGGTTCCTGACCACTGCAGTCAAGCAACTACCACAGTAAGCAAATCATAATCCATTTGCTAATGGAGGGTCTTGCCTTCAATTTGTAAAAAATGTAATATCTGTGAAGTGCATTAAAGCAAAGCTCAATAAAACTGTCACATGACCCTTCTGCTTCTACCTCTTTAATCAGAACTTAGTAGTCAGGTGGCCATACCTAGCTATGAGAGAAGCTGGTACCTTAAATCTTTTTCCTGGGTGGCAATGTACCCAGCTAAAAATTGGGGTTTCTGTTACTATGGAAGAATGAGTGATACTGGGAGTGTGGAGAGGCATTCTTTAACACTGTCCTCGGAAGAGAAAATCAGGTAATACTTCTTTTAATGAAGAATCTTCCATCAGCTCATGGTATTCTCTTTAGCTTCTGGTCACCAGGAAGTTCTACTCTGTAATCCACAAAGAGTAGGTTGGCTTCCTTCAGCTAACCCTCTGTCTGAGGATCAGAGAAAGGATATTGTGCCTTTCCTCGGTACCTTGCTGCTCGGCCTCCTTCAGACCAAACACACAAACTGACTTACAGTGGAGGGCCATGAAGATCTTTTACTGAGAGGTCAAGTAGATATAACTATCTCAGAGCAGTACAGAGTAGGGGAATACAGTGGTCACTTTATCTAACAAAAATATTCCCTGGTACAGAAAATCTTAATGGCTCACAGTCTTAAACATTTGGAAAGGCAGTGTTCCTATGCTCTCTATTCTGTCTTCCTCTTGCCAGCTTCCCTCAAAGACACTCTGTCCAGTGTCCTCACCCTCTTCTCTTTTGAACATTTCACCTCTCCCCACAAATCCTAATCATCTGACCCTCTTACGGTCTTGCAAGCACTAGGACCTCATATTTTCATGCAGACACAAAGGGAGGTCCTCCTCTGCCCTAGCTTTGCAGTGCCTAAAGGGTCCCAAGGGTGGAAGGAAGATGATGGATGTTCCATTTCTAGTTCAGTGCTTTAGTAGATTCAAATGCTAATTTCCTTCCAAAGAAATAGAGTCTCACAAGGAGACTTGATCCTACTTCTAGTGGAATAAACCTGGCAATAACATAGTAAGAGCCATTTGATTCTTCATGAACTTACACAAGAGCTGCAACATTTGCTCATATTTTTTCCCCTGAGCTCCAAATATATCCTTTGTGATTTAGTCCCTAAACAAATACTAATGGAGTGTCTAATAAGTGCTAGGTACTCTTCTGAGTCCATGAAATTAATTGGTGAGCAAAACAGACAAAAAACCAAGAGATACATGTTTCATTGAGCTTTAATCCCACACTGATTTGCACATCTCTTGCTCCATAGGAGGAGGATGGGATAGGGAGAGGGTGTTCATCCAAGTGCATGGTACATAGGAGCATCCATGACTATTTGCTCATCACAACTCTGGGCCTGTATAGAAGACTGCTTCACTGGTCACCCAACTTGTGATTTTGTCACAAAATCTAATTGGAAATGGAAGTAGAGTTTTGCTAATAAAGGCCTGGTGTTATTACCTGTGTCACTTGAGAAATACACATGCCAGTAGCACTGACTGAAGTTCCTTATATCTAGGTATAGGTGACATCGTCCAGTGTTTTTCCTGTGAAGGATGTATGAACAACTGGGTGGAAGGGGATGACCCATTAGAAGATCATACCAAATTTTTTCCTAAGTGAGTGGAATGAATGCTTAGTGTCTGTGAATTTGGATGTACTTTAAAACAATTTGTCCCTTAATCTCTTCCTCATTTTGTTATTAAATCTTTGCTCATCCCTCTGATTCATTATAATTATAGCATAGTTTTGGTTACATCAGTATTTTTACATTATATGTTTACTTATCATGACTCCATAAATGCTATGCAGAGCTGAACCTGTAGTAAATTATGATTTATTTCCCCTCTCTGTACAAACTATAATTTTTTTAGAAATAATTGTCGTGTTAGTGTGTTTATTTAATTTTTTGTTTTTTGAAATGAAATTCACACATTAACCACTTTAAAGTGCACAATCCAGTGCATTTAGTACATTCACAATGTTATACAACCACTCCCTCTAATTCCATTTTCATTACCCCAAAAGAAAACTGTACCCATTAAGCAGTCACTCCCTATCTCCCCACCCTATCCCACTCTAGCTCCTTAAAGCTACCGATATGCTTTCTGTCTTTACAGATTTACCTATTCTGGATATTTCATATAAATGGAAGCATACAATATGACTTTTTTGTGTCTGGCTTCTTTTGCTTAGCATAATGTATTGAGGTTCATTGAGGTTGTAGCATGTATCAGTACTTCATTCTTTTTATGGCAGGGTTACATATATTTCTCCATATTCTTATCAATACTTTTTCTTTTAACTACAGCATTTGCTTAGGTTTTCTTTTGTTGTTGTTGTTTTCTTATGTCTTTAGCAACAGTTCATCTTTTTTTTTTTTTTTTTTTTTAAATTTTTCTTTATTGATTTCGGGGAGAGAAGAAGGGAGAGGGAGAGAGAGATAGAAACATCAATGATGAGAGCTATTGATTGGCTGCCTCCTGCATGCCCCTGACTGGGGATTGAGCCCACAACCCAGGCATGTGACCCAACCAGAATCAAACTGTGATCTCCTGGATCATAGGTTGATGCTCAACTGCTGAGCCATGCCAGCCAGGCAGCACCAGTTCATCTTCAAATTCTCCCAAATATTTAAATCTTCTCTCCAGTCATTCAGACCTATAAGATATCCCATCATTTTCATTTTCCTGAAGTTTTTCTCCAACACGAACTACTTATCCTATAGTCATCCTAGGATCCTAGGGATTTCTATTGGCTCTCTCCTGTGTTGTAGCTCCTGTGTCCTAGATCTAATGCCAACTTCTTCTTGGTTTATTCACTCATTTTGGTAGAGCACTCCTCCAAGTTCCCTGGAAAAGGTTGCACAAGAGATACATGTTTCTAGCTTGTATATAATGCATATATTTGAATATATTCTCACATTTGTTTGGCTGGGTATAGAACTCTAGGTTGGAAATCATTTTCATTCTTAATTGTAGAGGCATTGCTACATTTTCTTATAGCTTCCAATGTTGTGATTGATTCTGATTCTTAATCCTTAGATTGCAAACTATTTTCTACCCCTTCTGGAAGCTTTTAGGATTTTCCACTTGTTTCTGGTGTTCTAAAATTTCATGAAGGAATGGCTATTTCTTTAATATTTTTTTCTGTGAATGTTTTAACCCTTTGGATTGTTTAATTTTTGCCTACCAAACTCTTCATAAATGTTAAGCTGCAAGAAGAAATTTGTTGTTTTCATTTTGTAATTTGTAAGAGTTTTTCCAGAAATAAATATTAATACATACAGATGTTAAAACAAATACTCCCATTTAATTCTAAGATTCTTAAGAGGATACTGCTTTAAAGGAGTTTTGACAGAAGCAGTTGCTTTTTTTTCTTTCTTATTTGGATTTAGTATTTAGTAAATTGTTGAGAATCATGGGGACATGCTTCTTAATTCTTGGAAAAATAAGCTAGTGTGCAGTCTTAAATTTTTTCTAGGATCTATCAACTTCCTTTTGTGTGGCATTTTACTCTTTCTCTGCCTCTTTTTTTTTTTTTTAATATATCTTTATTGATTTCAGAGAGAGGAAAGGAAAAGGAAAGAGAGAAAGAGATAGAAATATCAATGATGAGAGAGTCACCGATCGAGCCTGCAACCCGGGCATGTGCCCTGACTGGGAATCGAACCCCGAGCTCCTGGATCCTAGGTCAATGCTCACCCGCTGAGCCACACCCAGCCGGGCTCTCTGCCTCTTTTTCTTTCCTTTTTTTAAAAAAATTGAAGAGTAGGATGCCTCCAAAGGAGTACCTAAAATATTTATTACAATTTGAAGGAGAATAAGAAGCCAATACATCAACTACAGAAGTTAAGAAAATGAACATTAGCAATGCCTTAGGCGGCGACAGTATGCCCACCCTCCCCAGTTCCAGTTACATCCTTGTTCCCCAATCCAGAGGTAAACGTCATCCAGAATGTTTTGTTAATTATTCCTTTGCTCTGTTTGTAATTTTACCAACTGCATACATAGCCTTAAACATATTGAACTTTGCCTGTTCTTGAAGTGAAAATAAATGGAAGCATACTGCATGGTTCTTCTATGATTGACACATTTATCTCCACATTGTTTTTCAGACTCATTCTTTTTTTTAATAATTTTTTTATTTTTTAGATATATCTTTATTGATTTCAAAGAGGAAGGGAGAGAGAGAGAGAGAAACATCAATGATGAGAGAGCCATTGATCGGCTACCTCCTGCAGCCCCCCACTGGGGATCGAGCCCACAACCTGGGCCTGTGCCCTGACCGGGAATCAAAACTCCATCTCCTGGATCCTAGGTCGATGCTCAACCACTGAGCCACGCCTGGNACCTCCTGCAGCCCCCCACTGGGGATCGAGCCCACAACCTGGGCCTGTGCCCTGACCGGGAATCAAAACTCCATCTCCTGGATCCTAGGTCGATGCTCAACCACTGAGCCACGCCTGGCTGGGCCAGACTCATTCTTAATTATATGTAGAGTTGTAGTTCACTTATTTTCCCTGCTATATAGTGTAGCAGGGAAAATAAGTTTTAATGAGTTTATAATAAATTATCTGTTCCATTATTGATTCACATCTGAGTTGTTTTTAGAGTGTTGAAAATTCAAATAACGCCATTACGAACATTCTTGTGTATATTTCTCAGTGCCCATGTGTGTTTCTCTAGGATACATAACAAAACAGAATTGCAGAGTTCTAGAATTTGCACATATTCAACTTTACTAGATTGTGCAAAACTTTTTCAAAGTGGTTGTACTGGTTTACATTTCCACAAGCATAAGTGAGTTTTCCTTGGTCTACTTCCTCACTAATTTGGTATTGTCCAAATTTTAATTTTTGACAATCTAATTACTAATAATGTTGAGCTATATTTTTGTATTTTCCCATACAATTTCCTATTATTTTTCTTCACAAGTGTCTTGATTATTCTTTGTCCTTTCATATTCAGAGAATATATGAATTGTCCCTCTTTATCCCTCATAGTATTTCTTATTCTTAAGTCTTTAGCTAATACTAGTATAGCCACTCCAACTTTTCTATAATTAGTTTTTACATGATATCTTTTTTGAAATCATTTTACTTTAAATTTTTTTTTAAATTTATTTTTATTTTTAAAAAGTATATCTTTATTGATTGCAGAGAGAGGAAGGGAGAGGGGGAGAGAGAGACAGAAACATCAACGATGAGGGAGCTATTGATCAGCTGCCTCCTGCACACCCCCTGCTGGGGATCGAGCCCACAACCCAGGCATGTGCCCTGACCAGGAATCGAACTGTGATCTCCTGGATTGTAGGATGCTCAATCGCTGAGCCACACCTGGCCAGGCTTTACTTTTTTTTTTTTTTAAGATTATTCTGCTGCACGTGATTTCTTTTTTAAAATATGTTTTTATTAACTTCAAAGAGAAGAAGAGAGAGGGAGAGAAAGATAGGAACATCAGTGATGAGAGAGAGTCATTGATCAGCTGCCTCCCGCATGTGCCCCAACTGGGGATCAAGCCCACAACCTGGATATGTGATTCAAACCCCGCCACACTGGTGTATGGGACAATGCTCCAACTAAATGAGCCATACCCTACACTGGCCAGGGCTTTCTTCTCTATTTTTGATTCTTTAACTTCATTTTAGTTTGCTTCATGTTTGAATGTTATCCCCACTACTACTTTATAAAGCACTTACATTGCTATTGCTGAGATCCACAGTCTAAATATCTTGTTTAATAATGTCACTGTCAGAACAAATCACTAGAGATGTTATTTTTTCCATTAAAACTCTAATAGTATTTTTAAAAACCTAATGCAAACACTTACTGCCTACAACTAATTTTATAACTTCTGTCCTTAGTTGTCAGTTTCTCCAAAATATGAAGGCGTCTGCAGAAGTGATTCCAGACCTGGAGAGCCACGAGAAACTTTCTGAATTAATGGTAATGAACACCACCATCTTGTTTACTTTAGCAGTACATGGTTGAAAACCATTTTTGAACAGGAATTGCTTATCCTAAATAAGTAAATAAATAAATTCTACAAATATATATTAAGTACCTATGATGTGCTAGGTGTGGATGGGGACACTACAGTAAACAAGTGAGACATAATACCTACCTTCATTAAATGTAGAGTCAATCCCTTCTACTTTGGGGCCCAGACTCTTTTAGACTTAGAGATGATAAGATCCAGGATACCTGGATTCTATCTGAAATCTTTATTTGGAGGATAGTAAGGTCTGACTTGCTACTTGGCCATTCTCAAGGCTGGAATGATGTTTTTTTACAAAAGCAAATGATCAACCAAATCATAAACCCAGATAATAGGTTGACCCCTTTAAATGGAGAAATCCCTCATAGTTCTCTGGGATATAAGCCATTATAAATTTCACACACACACACACGCACCTTATTTGAGGCTGTATGTTAGGTATATTATGTTTGTCATCCCACAGAAATAAAAAGTAACTGGCTGTTCATTTGATTCAAGTTTATATTTGTGAACTGAAAAATGAAATTGAAGAAAAAAAGCTTGGGGCTATTTAAATAGCTTATTTTTAAGGAAGAAACATAAACTTCCTACACCCCAGATATGTAATATTAAACGTTAGTAACTAAGGTCAACAGCTGTATCTACTGATTTTTAGAGGGCCGTCTTGCTCTAGATGCTGATTCTGATTACCTGGGCAGTAATCAAGGCTTGACTCACCCATGCACACTACCTAGGAGCACACACTTGCAGGTGTTTGCAGATCATGTATTGCTCCATATTTGTAGCATTTTCCCCTCAATTGGCATAAATATTTGAGGGTAGGCTGTGTTTAGATGATGTTTGGTCCACAACTGTAACATGATGCCTCATCCCTTATATGAATTTTGATTTAACAGAGCATTTATTTTCAAAGGAAACCACAAGTGAAATCAATCTTGAAGATTCGGCAGCAGTTAGTTCTATAGTGCCAGGTAAGGATTTTGAAGCAGCTCATGGGACTATATATATGCATACATATATTTATATATGGGGGATTTTAAGAGAGAGAGGGTTTGTAATTGTGCCTCCTTTCTTCTCTCCACAGAGATGGTCCAGAGTGAAGCACAGTGGTTTCGGGAGGCAAAGAGTTTGAACCAGCAACTGAGAGATGCCTACACCGATGCCAGTTTCCGCCACATGTGTTTGCTGGAGGTCTCTTCCCGTCTAGCCACAGACCATTTGCTGAACTGTGATCTGTCCCTTGCTTCAAAACACATCAGCAGTCCTGTGCAAAAGCCTGTGCTGTTGTCCGATGTCTTTGCCAACTTGAATTCTGTCATGTGTGTGGAGGGTGAAGCTGGTAGTGGAAAGACAGTCCTCCTGAAGAAAATAGCTCTTCTATGGGCATCAGGATGCTGCCCCTTGTTAAACAGGTTCCAGCTGGTCTTCTATCTCTCCCTTAGCTCTACCAGACTGGACCAGGGGCTGGCCAACATCATTTGTGACCAACTCCTAAAGACTGAACGATCTGTTACTGAAACGTGCCTGAGGAACATCATCCAGCTGTTGAAGAATCAGGTGTTATTCCTTTTGGATGACTACACAGAAATGTGCTCAGTCCCTCAAGTCATACAAAAACTGATTCAAAAAAACCACTCATCAAGGACCTGTTTGTTGATTGCTGTCCATACAAACAAGGCCAGGGACATCCGCCGATACCTAGATACGATTCTAGAGATCAAAGTGTTTCCCTTCTACAATACTATCTATGTATTACGGAAGTTCTTTTCTAATCATTTGACCCGTCTGCGAAAGTTCATGATTCACTTTAGAGTAAATGCAAATTTGCAGGGAATTCAGAAAACTCCTCTTTTTGTAGCAGCAGTCTGTGCTAATTGGTTTCAAAACCCTTTTGACCAGTCCTATGATGATGTGGTTGTTTTCAAGTCCTATATGGATTGCCTTTCCTTAAAGCACAAAACTTCAGCTGAACGTCTCAAAGCAGCTGTGTCCTCTTGTGGTGAGTTAGCCTTGAAAGGGTTTTTCTCATCTTGCTTTGAGTTTAGTGACAATGACCTTATAGAAGCAGGGGTTGACAAAGATGAAGATCTAACCATGTGCCTGATGAGTAAATTCACAGCCCAGAGACTGAGACCAGTCTATAAGTTTTTAGATCCCACATTCCAAGAATTTCTTGCTGGGATGAGGTTGATTGTACTCTTGGGTTCAGATAGGCAAGATGATCAAGATTTGGGACTTTATTATTTGAAACAAATCCAATCACCCATGATGATTGTCAGTCCCTGTAACAATTTTTTGAAATATGTCTCCTGCTATCCTTCAACAAAGGCAGGGCCAAAAATTGTATCTTATTTACTTCATTTGTTGGATAATAAAGAGTCATTGGGAAATATATTTGAAAAAGATGACAACCTGAAGCACCATTCGGATGATTTGGAGAAGGTGCACTTATATAGGATATTGTGGCAATTCTCTCCACAAAATTACTTTTCTCTGCTTTCAGACCACTTGCTGGCTTTTGCCATAAGACTTGCTTATCAAAGCAACACTGTTGAAGCATGTTCTCCATTTATTTTGCAATTCCTTCAAGGGAAAACCCTGCCTTTGGATATGCTTAAGTTACAGTATTTTTTTGACCACCCAGAAAGCCTGTTATTGTTGAGGAGCATCAAAGTCTGCATAAGTGGAAAAATGAAAATCTGGTCACCTATATCAGATAGTTCAGTTCTGGAAAAGTGTTGGGACAAATCACAGGCACCAACAATACATCAGGACTGTGCTTCTGCCTTTGAAGATATGATGGAATGGGAGCGGACTTTAACTGAAAAACGGGAAAACATTATGAGATATATGAATATGAAAGTCAGTGCACCACCAGTCATCAGTACCGGCTATTGGAAACTTTCTCCAAAGCAGTACAAGATTCCCCTTCTGGAAGTCCATGTGACTAATATGGATGGTGTGGACCAAGAGATGCTCAGGGTTCTAATGGAAGTTTTCTCAGCTTCACAGCACATTGAACTTCATTTAAAGGACAGCATGGGCTTTATTGAAAGCCTTCGCCCAGCTCTTGAGCAGCATACAGCTTCTTTCACCAAGTGCTCCATAAGTGAATTTGAGCTGAATGCAGCAGAACAGGAATTGCTTCTCAACCTGACTTCCTTGGAATCTCTTGAAATCTTAGGAACAACCCAGATACAAGGTATATACCTGAATATATTTAAGCTGGCTGTTCTGATGGTAATTTTATTTGCTCACCCTTGGTTTTAGGTGGATAAAACTTCTGAAAGCATGAGACCATAGATGCTTGCTGACAGAATAGATATGAAATAAACCTTCAGGATTTTATTTTTGTCAATAGTATGAATTAGTGAAAGGCCTCTAAATAGAATGATTTTCAAACAACTCAGATAATAATAAAAATTAACTATTTTCAAACAACTCAGATAAAAATAAGTTAATAAAACAGACACAAATTACCTGTTATTAGTAAAATAATGATCTGTATGCAAAGATGATGCTTGAGGATTACCCTCACCTTCCCTGCTAAATGGGAGGAAGGGCTTACAGTGTACTACCTGGGAAACAAATACATGGGAAATAATATCTCCCATTTATTTGTGTCTCCTTTCACTTCTTTAAGTAATGTTTGCAAGTTTTTGGTGTAGGCTTTATATTTTATTAAATTTATTCCTAGGTGTTTGTGTTTTTTGATACTTGTGTAAATAATACTTAATTTTTTTTCCATTTTCTATTTTTTGCTAGTATGGCTTTGGTGTTTCAACAGTTTGCTACAAGCCTATATGCTTTGCTTTGTGTTTATCTTGCTTGAGGGTCACTGAACATTTTTGGATCTGTGGGTTATTTATCATCAAATTTATCAAAATTTTGTTTGCTATTTTCAATACTTCTTTTATTATAGTAAAATATACACAAAATGTACAGTTTTAACCATTTAAGTGTACAACTCAGTGGCATTAAGTACTTTAAAATGTTGTGCAACCATCACCACTATCCATTTCCAGAAACATTTCATCATCCCAAACAGGAACCCTGAACCTATTGTTTAAAAATATTTTTTATTGATTTTTGAGGGAGAGGGAGAGAGAGAAACATTGATGTGAGAGCGAAACATTGATGGATGCCTCCCACATGCCCCCACATTGGGGACTGAGCCCACAACCCGGGCATGTGCCATGACCAGGAATTGAACCAGCAACCTTTTGGTGCATAGGATGATGCCCAACTGAGCCACACCAGCCAGGGCGAAACTGTACCTATTAAATAACTCCTTCCTCTTCCAAGCTGCTGATAATGTCTATTCTACTTTATGTCTCTATAAATTTGTCTAGCCTAGATAGTTCATATAAATGGAATCATATAATATCTTGTCCTTTCGTGTCTGGCTTATTTCACTTAGCGTGTGTTCAAGGTTGATCATGTTGTAGCATGAATCAGAACTTCATTCTTTTTATAGCTGAATAATATTCCACTGTATATATGTATACGTGTGTGTGTATATATATATATCATGTAGGTATGTATGTGTGTATATATATGTTTTGTTTATCCATTCATCTGTTGATGGTCACTTGTGTTGTTTTTTCTGGTTATTGTAAGTAATGCTGCTACAAACGTGAGCATACAAATATCTCTTTGAGACCCTGCTTTTAATTCTTTTAGATATATATTCACAAGTGGAATTGTGGCATCATATTAATAATAGTAATTTTATTGCCCTGGCCGGTTTGGTTCAGTGTTTAGAGTGTCAGCCCTCTGACCCAAGGGTCACGGGTTTGATGCTGCCCAAGGGCACGTACCTAAGTTGCAGGCTCCATTGCTGGCCCCGGTCCGGGCACATGCAGGATGCAACCAATGGATGTGTCTCTCTCACATCGATGTTTCTCTGTCTCTACCTCGACCTCAAAAAAAATAAAATAAAATAATTTAATTTTTGAGGAATCTCCAAACTGTTTTCCACGGTGGCTGCACCATTTTACATTTCCATGAGCAATGTACAAGGCAGGGGGTAGGGGGACTCCAATTTCCCCACATCCTCATCAATGCTTGTTTTTTTTAAGGCATCCTAGTAGGTGTGAAGTGGTATTTCATTGCGGTTTTGATTTGCATTTCCCTAATGACTAATGATTTGAGCATATTTTCATGTGCTTATTTATTGGCTGTGTCTTTTTTGGAAGACATATCTATTCAGTCCTTTGCCCATTTTTTTTTTTTAAACATCTTTATTGATTTGAGAGAGAGGAAAGGAGGGGAGAGAGAGAGATAGAAACATCAATGATGAGAGAGTCATTGATCGACTGCCTAGCCCGCAACCCGGGCATGTACCCTGACCGGGAATCGAACCCCGATTGCCTGGATCCCAGGTCAATGCTCAACCACTGAGCCACGCCTGGCCGGGCCCTTTGCCCATTTTTAAATTGTGTTTTCTTTTAGTTCTGAGTTGTAGTTCTTTGTATATTCTGGATATTAAATCCTTATTGGACATGTAGTTTGAAAATATTTTTTCCTATTCTGTAGATTGTCTTTTCAATGTCTCAGTGATGTCCTTTGACACACTAAGTTTTAAATTTTGATGAAGTCCAATTGCTAGTGCTTTTGGTAGCATATCTAAGATTCCACTGTTTCCTTCTAAGAGTTGTATGGTTTAGTTCTCATATTTATGTTGTTAATCCATCCTGAGTTAATTTTGTATATGGTGCTGGGTGGTAGGGGGTCCAACTTCATTCTTTTGCATGAGGAAATCCAGTTTTCCCAGCAGTATTTGTTGAGACGGGGTCTTATTTTTGTGAATCCAGACAGTAGCACAAGGCTTCCCACATAGTAATCAATAAATGCAGCATAAAGCAGTATCTTCATATATGAATTTTCTAAAAAAAGTTTTATGGTATTGAGGCTGTTGTAATTAGCTAGTTATTAATAGGAAAGGAGCAAAGTGAAGGCCAGACATTATAGGCATGCTCCCTGCAAAACACTGGGGAAGGGATCCAACAAAAGGAAGATAAATGTATGCCCAGTAATGCTGGCATGACAGAGGGAAGGTACTTGCCTGTCAATCACACCTGGGGACAGAGAAGGTTGGCCAGAATGGGTGTGGCCACTGCAAGTGCTTGCAAATTTGGGACATATAATCCCCTGAACAAAGGAATTCTCTCTCTCGGTTCCTCTTGGCACGCTTGGCTTCCTGGCATTCTCCCGATTGGCCCACGGCCATGTGGATACCCCACACAATGGACTAATGGGACCCAGCTGCAACATGGAACGGAAACTCGACACTGGCTCTGATTTTAGCCCTACTACATTTCTATGACTTGATTAAGGGAAATGGGTCTTTGGAAACCCAGTGACGTAATTCCTCGGAAATAAAGCTCTCTAGCATGTCTCATCCTCCCATGCGAGTCTCAGAAAATTCCTTTTCTTGGGATATGGCACTCCCACTAGATGCAGGAGGCAGGGGGAGGGGAGAAGGAACGAGACACATTTTTCTCCAGTCACAGTATGTGAAAAAGTTTTCGTGTGAAAATGGCTTGATGAATCAAAATGAGTCTCAAATTTGCCGTTTGGAACTCTTTACCTTAATAATGGATAACTGTGCTGCTTTCCAGATCAGCTCCTTCCTAAGTTGGACAAATTCCTGTGCCTGAAAGAACTGTCTGTGAATATCGACAAAAGAAATGTGTTTTCAGTCATTCCTGAAGAATTCCTAAACCTCCACCATATGGGGAAATTATTGATCCAAATTTCTGCTGAGAATGGTCCTTCCAAACTAGGTAAGGATGGCAATTTGATTTACTTGTTTTTACATCACTTGGTAGAGCTACTTGGCCAGTGATTCATTTTAGGGTTAAAGCTTCCGTGGATCTGTGGGTGAAGGCTGTATCCACGGTAAATTGTGGGAATAGCACTTTCTCATTAAGAGAGCAGAGAGCTATTTGTAATTATTGAGCCCTTACTACATGCTAGGAATTGTTACAAGCACTTTACAAATATTAACATTTAAAATTCATACCCATTTTATGAGATAAGGTAAGGCACTATTATTATACTCATTTTACAGCTGGGAAATTGAGGTATAAAGAGGTTAAGTAATTTACTCAAGGTCACCCAGCTAAGGAAATGGTAGACCTGTGATCCAAACACAGGAATTCTGACTACTACCAAGTCTGAGCTTTAACCACTGGTATAGTGCCCCTCCAAAATAATTTGTAGAGTTCTTTTTTATTTTATTTTTAAGTTACAGATATCTGCCGAATTAGGTGGAAGGAAATATGCTGATTGGTAGTGATGGGAAACATTTCCCTGTTTTTCTCACCAGCCTATGCTCATGGTTCATGGGCAACTTGTGCAGCCACCTTTCTTAAATAAATCATTTAGCAAAATGCTTTAGGCATCATCAGTTCTTAGACTGAACACCGAGGACTAAGGAAATGCAAATCTTTATGGAACTGACACGCAGAATTGCTTTTGTTTTGTTGTATAGTATTCCAGTTGTGTAAATGTCACCTACAAACTCAGAAACAGGGTGTTAAAGCTGAAGGTGACTTTACTGAGTCAATGCCCTTATTTTACAGAAAACTGATCCCCAGAGAGGCTTAGTAGCTACATGTCCAAGTTCACATAGCTCACTAGTTAGTTGTAGAACCTGAACCTAAACCCAAAGTGGCCTGATTTTTCGGTCATTACATCCTGGTGCTTTGTTTTATTTCAAGACAAAATAACAAGTTATTGAACCAAAATAACAAGTTATGTGGCTAATCCTGATAGAAATTTGCAATCTTCCCTAATGTCTTAAATCTTTGATATTTTACAGTTAAATTAATTCAGAATTCTCCTAACCTTCATGTTTTCCATCTGAAATGTAATTTCTTTTCGGATTTTGAGTCTCTCATGACCGTACTTGCTTCCTGCAAGAAACTCAAAGAAATTAAGCTTTCTGGAGCATTTTTTCGACCCGTCCCATTTGGTAAGAGCTACAATCATAAAATTTTGGTTTAAGTCCCTTTTAAAAAATAGCCAAATTTTAAACATGCAATTGTCAAAGAACTATTGTAATAGATATGTGATCTTGAATGAGTTATGAAGTAAGTTCTATTTGTTTCTCGAAGTTTAAATATTTCTAGTTATCATAATGATTTCCTGAGCAAAGATTTACCAGCTTAGTCATACTAATTAATTCTATCTGAATTATTGTATTATTTTCTATCACTTTAAAAATATTCTTTAATTACATTAATTTTTGGTATAAGAGTTGTAGCTAACATATTGGATTTTTATTTTCCCTTCCATAGTCACCATTTTGCCAAATTTTACTTCTCTGAAGATATTAAATCTTGAATTCCAATATTTTGATGATAAGGAAGCGTCTGAAAAATTTGGTACGTTTATGAACCGGTGCCTTTTACTTACTCTTCACCCCGCCCCCCAACCCCTTCACCTGTTTTACACTAGTTAGAACAAAGCGCGACACATACTAACTGCCCCAGCTCATCAGGAGGGGGGCCGGCGCTGCGCAGCTCTTACCCTCTCGTGCCTCGCGTATCCTCAGGGTGCCTTATTTCTTAGAACATAGCTGGTCATTATAGCACTATGCAGTTTCATTGGCAGGTACCCATTCCAAACATGTCAAATCTGTGTTGTTTCAAAAGTTTCTGGGATATAGGTAAAACTATCTTTTAAGGTTAAGGAAAGTTGGTATAGGAAAACCCAGATTTAACAAAGTGAAAGAGCTTAATTATTTTTTCATTTTTTGATGATTACAAAAGTAATGTATGCCCATGGGAAGACAAGATAAACTGAGGCATATTAAAATTTTTAAGTTCATTTGAGCAAAACTGGCTTTGCATTGGGCAGCATCCTGTTCAGCAGACAGAAAGGAGCTCTGGGGAGCTATGCAGAACGACTGTTATAGGCAGAAGGGAGCAGGAACAAGGAAGTTATATTAGGCAAAAAGTTGGTTGCTGATTGCAAGGTTAATTTCCTTTAGGGGATGGCAGGATTCTGTAAGGCAGATTACCTAACTAGTACTGATCAGGTGCTTCCTGATTAATGGTTTAAGATTACATTTCTGGGAGAGCTGAAAGGTTAAGTCTAGGTTTGGTAACATGGGGCTTAGCATAAGGGACTCCATTTTGGGTTCATATCTCATTTTTAACTCAGGAAAACATAAGGTGAGTCAGTAGAAACATGGAGTGTTGAGCAGGTAGTGCCTTTTAAACTTCAGCATGCTTAAGGATCACCAGGATCTCTTCTTCTTTCCTTTCTGTGGAGGCAGCCCTGTGGGTGGGGGAGGAGCAGGAGGGCTGAAGGGGCAGAGGCAGGATCAGGGGGCAAGGAAATGCCTGGTATATACAACAGGCTGGTTAAGCAAATACACTGAGTATAATGAGAGCCAAGTTTCCTCACTGTTAGAGAAGGAATTTATAGATATTCAAAGGGTAGGTTAGAAAGAACTCTGAGTTATTAAATTAGAATTAGAAATACTGGTGTGAACTCATGGTTTTTAACCTATTCACATAGATAAATAGATCAGTGTATGCACAGATATAGATATCGATTTACCTATATATCTTTATATACAAACACACACATATATTGCTTAGCTCAGTCAACTGAGAGACTGGAAAGCACCTTAATAGCAATTGAGCACACCAGATACCCAGGTCTTGACTTCTAAATATTGGCTTCCCCAAAGGAAACCAAAGTTCTTACAGAAATAGCTGATAGAAGAACTGGAACAGAAAAAGATAAGGCTGGAGCGTGGATGGCTTGGCTCAGTGGTTGAGCATCAACCTATGAACCAGGAGGTCACTGTTTGCTTCCTGGTCAGGGCCCATGCCCAGGTTGCGGGTTCGATCCCCAGTCCGGGTGTGCAGGAGGCAAGCCGATCAATGACTCTTATTATTGATGTTTCTATCTCTCTCTCCCTCTCCCTTCCTCTCTCTAAAATCAATAAAAACATATTTTTTTTTAAAAAAAGATAAGGCTGGAACTTTTTTTTTAACCCTCACCTGAGGGTATGCTTTTCATTGATTTTAGAGAGAGGAAGTTGTGGGGGGAAAGAGAAACATCAATGTGACAGAGAAGCATTGACCAGTTGCCTTCCATACGTGTCCCGACCGGGAATTGAACCTGAAACCTAGATGTGGGCCCTGACCTAGAACCCACCGCCTTTCAGTGTATGGGATGATGCTCCAACCAACTGAGCCACCTGGCCAGGGCCTGGAACATTGTTTTATGGTAGAAAGTGTTCAAAACATCTTCAGGTGTGAGGCCTCAGAAGTAGAGAACTTTCTAGGGTTCAAGTGGTCCACAGTGTACCATGTTAAGGAGGAATGAAAGTGAAAAGAGAGAGTGGTGAATTGTGAGGCTTTAGTGCTATGAGGCAGAGGGAGAGATCACTGAGATTCTAGCAGGAGGTGGGATTGAGAGGAAGGGGCCTGAAGGCCTTGAGGAGCTAGGGGAGTATGCAGGACGCCAGAAGCTTCAGCCTCAATGAGGAACTGGATATGTCAGAGGTATTCTGGACTCCAATGCAGGAAAGATTGATTGGGGAGGGTGAAAAAAATGGTTGTGTGGAACGAAAAATGAAGATCAAGGTGTAGGCTGACCCCTTTCTCGTCCTTGGAGAGGAAGAGGAACAGTCTCTGCTACATGGGGCCTCCTGGACTGTGTATGATTTTGAGGCTAGAGACCACCGTTTGGGAACACAGTACGAAAAGAGCCTTTTTGTGTCTTCTGACAGCCTACACTTTAGGTTCTCTTACCAACCTGGAAGAATTGATCCTTCCTACTGGGGATGGGATTCAGCAAGTGGCCAAACTGATCATCCAGCAATGTCAGCATCTTCGATGTCTCCGAGTTCTCTCATTTTTCAAGACTTTAAATGATGAGAGTGTAATGGAAATTGGTGAGTTACCCTCAGGTAAAATGTTTCACCCTGCCCTGGACAGGTGGCTCAGTTGGTTGGAGTGTCGTCCTGTACACCAAAAGGTTGTGGGTTCGGTTCCTGGCCAGGGCACATATCTAGGTTCCAGGTTCAATCCTTGGTCGGGGCACATATGGGAGGCAACCGATCTCTCTCTCTTCTTCCTCTCTCTAAAATCAACAAACTCAACAAACATGCCCTCAGGTGAGGATTAAGAGAAAAAATGTTTCAGCTTGCATGAAAGCCAGTGATATTATTTAAGCTTTCTGCTACAAAATGTCTATAAAAACTTTTGTCTCTCTAAAAATGTTCAACCCACTGCCTCATTTTCACTATCTTATCTTTCCCTCTTATGTCCTGTTGATTTAGGGTCATTCTGGTCAGATTTGGAAGTAAAAGATGTCCTCCCATTTGAGACTATACAAGCCCTCAAGTCTATGTTCTTTTTAAAAAATTTTGTATATGTTTTTACTGATTTTCCAGAGAGGAAGGGAAAGGGGGAGAGAGAGAAACATTGATAGGCTGCCTCCTGCACACCACCTACTGGGGATGGGGCCCAAAACCCAGGCATGTGCCCTGACAGGTATTGAACTGCGACGTCTTGGTGCACGGGAAAACCACCAACTGAGCCACACTGGCCAGGGCAGGTCTATGTTCTTGACACCCAGTGCTTCAGACACCTGACCATATACCTTCCATGTACTTCTTTTTACAGTATTTTAAGAATTTTAATATTAATACTCGTACAGAAAGGTACACAAGTCATAAGTGTATAGTTCAATGAACTTTCATTTTCTCAGCACTTCAGTCTCTAAAGTTAGTTGTGCTACAGCCATGGATTCTAGAGTGAAACCAAACTGAACCTTTGCCCCAATTAGGAAAAAGATTGCTAGCAATTAAAAACAAAACAAAAACCTTGCTAGGTTATCCACTTCCAAAGTAAAGCCAACCTATATTCATTGAGAACTTACTGTGTGCTAGGTTCCCACACCCTTCAAAACCCTCAATAATAGGAGGGTCCCTTCTGGGCAACAGGTGTAGTGTTTAGTAGTAGTGAGAAGACTTGGCTTGAGGAACGTGAAATCTTATTCTCTGTAAAAAGAGATGTGGTTGCTACAGTCTCTAATGTCCCTGGTAGCTTTGGGGGTTTTTTGTTGTTGTTTTTTAAAATATATCTTTATTGATTTCAGAGAGAGGAAGGGAGAGGGAGAGAGAGAGAGAAACATCAGTGATGAGAGAGTCATTGGTCGAGGCCACAACCCGGGCATGTGCCCTGACCGGGAATTGAACCTCTATCTCCTGGATCCCAGGTCGACGCTCATCCACTGAGCCACGCCTGTTCGGGCGTCCCTCGTAACTTTGTTACCATACTGTGCTTTGACATCTGTCCTCCCGTGAGACCAAATGAAAAGTCCAAATGTGTACAGAATGGCAAACTCTTACAGCAAAAGTAGCCTCAGTGCTCTAGGGCTTAGCTTTACTTCTCTAGTTTCTGCTTTTCCCTTGGGTTTTGCCCAGGCAGTTCTTTATTAACTTGTTAGCTCTTTGGGACTTTTAAGGAGATATTTAAAAAATATTTTATTGGCATTTTCTACTTTCAGTGGTGGTAGTGGTGATGGGAGAGGAGGCTGGTTCTAATAACCTAGTCTACTATTATTGAAATAAAAGTCCTTATGATTCCAATTTCATAAATATTTTTGCTTCTACAGCCAAAGTAGCAATCAATGGAGGTTTCCAGAAACTTGAGAACTTAAACCTTTCAGTGAATCACAAGATTACAGAGGAAGGATATAGAAATTTCTTTCAAGCTCTGGACAACTTGCCAAAGTTGCAAGAGTTGACGATTTCCAGGCATTTCGCTGAGTGTATCAGAGCCCAGGCCACCACAGTGAAGTCTTTGGGTCAATGTATGTCACGGCTGCCGAGCCTCACCACAATCAACATGTTAAGCTGGCTCCTGGATGCAGAAGACATCACACTGCTTACTTCTATGAAAGAAAAACACCCTCAATCTAAACACTTATCTATTCACTGGAAATGGTTATTGCCATTCTCTCCAATCATTCAGAAATAGAAGATTTGGCTAAAAACTGCTGAGTCTAGAAAATTTTTGTCAAAAATTCTAAAAACCTAATTATCCAAAAACATTTTATCAAGTATTGCATGCAAAAGAATATTTCTAAAACGTAAGGTATGAAAAAAATAACAACAACCCTGCCTGCCCATCACTGAACTTAAGAAACAGATTATTGCCAGTATCTTTGAAGGCTCTCAATGATCGTCCCAACTAAAGTTTATACATCTAACCCTCCATCATCCATCATCAGCATCAGGTTTTCAGGCCAACCATGGTAAAGAGTAACAAAGCCACAAGGAGGGGGTGGAGGGAGGTACACTGATCTTTTTAAAAGTCACGATATGGAAGAATTCACATTATATATGAAATGACTAACTTAAGGACTGAATCAGTTTCATACATAGGTGAAACAAGAGTTCACTTTAACACAGGGTGCAGATGAATCTTTTGTGGGCCAAGAGAGATTTCCTTAATTCTTACAGTATCTGTTCTGTATATTTAACTTTGGTGTAATCGAGTTTACTTGTACCTTCCCATTATCCACTGCCAATGTGAAAAAGAAATAGGATTTAGGGGGAAATGCTTTAATTCCAGAGGATTTGATTCAAATGCCCTGGCACTCACTCTTATGTTTCTAAACTTCTTCTTTCTCACATATCCCAGCCTCTCCAACTCTCTAACATCCTTCCACTGTGCCCATGAGTAACACGCCCCCTATCCTCAGCCTCTTTTCTAAGCATTCCCTGCACCTTCTCGTTTTAACTCCCGATTTTTTCAAACTTTTTTTTAAACAAGGACCCACAACAAGGAATAACTTCTATATTAAAAATTTTACACACATTTATATACATACTCACAACTGAAACAAGGTTAAAAAAATAACTTTCTAAGACAAAGCTATATCAAATATTTTACTAATATCCAAATATTAAAAAAATTCAAAAAACATGAAATTCCTTGAAAGAGTTGTTTATATGCACTGCTTTCAGTTGTGTATGTCGTTCTCTCTTAGGTTTCCTCCCGCCAGGATTTTACCTCCTCCATTGCACCAAAACCGCCCTTGTGAGGTCACCGGTGGCCACCTGCTAAATTTAACTGTGCTCCTCAGTCCTCACCCTACTTGGGAGCACCTGCCCCTCGGTCGCTGTGATGTGGTCCATTGCTCACCCCTCAAAACATTTTCTTCATTTGGCTTCCAAGGCTTTCCTCCTAATTCACGGGGAGTTCTGTTTCCTTTACTGCTTCTCATACCTGATCTCTAAGCACTGGGAGTACCCAAGTTCTCTGACATGTCTATTTAAACGCGCTTCCTTGGCTGTCTCATCCTGTTGACTCGCTTTAAATTCAACATCTGTGCTAGCTTTTAAATTTTCATCTCTAGCCCAGATCTCTCCTCTGAACTCTTTACTCATATCCAGCTCCTATTAAGGGTATCTCAAGTTTCCTATGTCCGAACCCAACCCTTATCCTTCCTTTCCACCAAAGTACTCTTTAGTTAGATGTCTCCATCTCATTAAATTCTAGCTTTATTATTCTACTTGCTTAGGTCGAAAACCTAGAGTCATCCTGCCTCCTCTCTTTATTACTCCATGTGTAATCGATGGGTAAATCCTGAGCTCTACTTGCAAAGTACACTCAGGTCCAACCACTACCGCCCACGGGCCCTAACTCACTGGGTTGCTTCTTTCGTAGAAACTTATCATCTGTTTTCAACATAGCAGCCAGAAGGCTCTTTTTATAAATCAGACCATGCTACACCTTTGGTTCAAAATCCTCCAATGGATTCCCAGCTCAAAGTAAACGCTGAAAACCTTACAATGGCCTACAAATAACCTGACCCCTCACTACCTCTCTTACCTAGGTCTCTCTAATCTCCCCTCCTTGCTCACTTCCACTCAGCCAGGCTGGTTTCTTTGCTGTTTCTCAAACATGCAAAACATGCTCCTCTCAGGGCCTTTGCACTTGTCATTTCCTTTGCCTGGGAGGTTCTCCCTCTATTTATGTGAATAGCTCTCATTTCCTTCAGATCTCTGCTCACATGTGAACTCAATGAGGAGTTTCCTGACCTTTCTTTTTAGAAAAGCATCCCCACTTCCAATCTCACTCTGCCTAATGCCTTTCCCTACTTCACTTTTCTCTACAGCATGTATCACTATCTGCCTCCTTATAAAGTTCCCACCACTATAAGCAGGAATTTTCATCTGCCTTGTTCATTGCTGTCTCCAAGAAACTAGAATAGTGCCTAGCACACAAAGTTAAATAAGATTTGCTGAAATGACTTTCCTGATCCTATGACCACTCTCCAAATGTATTAGGTAATAAGGGAGGTAACATCCAAAAAATACCTTAGAAAGCAAGTAAGCTGCCTTCATAACTAAATTTAACCTGGCACATATTTAGGCTATTAAAATATGCTAAATATATAAAATACTGGCTGATTGTCATGAAAAATGGTGAAACTCCAGTTAACCTATACTAGACTAGAAAGCTTAAGCCGTAGAATAACCCATTCTGCAAAGCATATTTGATTTTCCCATGCAAAACCTCTGAAAGAAATAGCATTTATCATGTTAACCCTTTCTCCTGCAGCTAAGTGGACTAGAAAGAATCCCAGATGCCATGGACACCAAACCTTAGACTAAACTGAAACAATACGATCTACCTCTCCTGAGAATTTGAACCAAGGATACAGATATAGTCAAATAGATGACCAAAGGAACTACAAGGTAGTGATGAAGAGAGAACAGGTTGGGCAACCATGCCAGACATGTGCATGATGACCACATGGAGGAGGCCAGAAGAGAGAGGGGCAGGCAGACAGACAGGAGGAGAGAAGAGAAGGTACAGGGAAGAAAATGACAATATGACTTTATTTTTAAAATTTTATCTTTATTGTTGAGAGTATTACAGGCTCCCATTTCCCCCCCCAATTGATCCCCTCCACTTCACTCCCACCCCCTTCCCAGGCCTTCAGACATGAGTTATGCATATAACTTCTTTGCTTAATCTCTTCCCATCCTCCACCCCCCCTTCCCTCTTTCCTCTGAAATATGATCGTCTGTTCCATGCGTCAATGTCTCTGGACCTATTTAGTTCGTCAGATTCTTTTGTTCATTAGCTTCTTCTTAAAGAAGACCCTTCAGCTTTTCCTGTAGTGCTGGTCTGGTGGTGATGAACTCCTTTAGCTTTGCCTTGTCTGTGAAGCTCTTTATCCGACCTTCAATTCTAAATGATAGCTTTGCTGGGTAGAGCAATCTTGGTTGTAGTTCCATGTTTTTCATCACTTTGAATATTTCTTGCCACTCCCTTCTGGCCTGGAAAGTTTCTGTTGAGAAATCAGCTGACAGTTGTATGGGTGCTCCCTTGTAGGTAACTAACTGCTTTTCTCTTGCTGCTTTTAAGATTCTTTCTTTGTCTTTAACCTTTGGCATTTTAATGATGATGTGTCTTGCTGTGAGACTCTTTGGGTTCCTCTTGTTTGGGACCCTCTGTGCTTCCTGGACTTTAAGTCTATTTCTTTCCCCAGGTAGGGAAGTTTTCTGTAATTTTTTCAAATAGGTTTTCAATTCCTTGGTCTCTTTCTCCCCCTTCTGGCACCCCAGTAATACAAATGTTGGGCCTCTTGAAGTTGTCCCAGAGGTTCCTTATACTATTTTCATATTTCTGGATTCTTTTTTCTTTTTGCTCTTCTGGTTGGGTGTTTTTTGTTTCCTCATGTTCCAAATCGCTGATTTGACTCTCAGCGTCCTCTACTGTTGATTCCCTGTAAATTAGTCTTCATTTCAGTTCTTGTAGCCTTCATTTCTGATTGGTACTTTATTATGTCATTGATGATCTCACTAGTTTCCTTAATAGTCTTACTAAGGTCCTTGAGCATCCTTATAACCATAATTCTGAACTCTGTATCTATTAGCTTGCTTGGCTCTATTCCACTTAGTTCCTTTTCTGGAGATTTCTTCTATTCTTTCCTTTGTGACATGTTTCTTTGCCTCCACATTTTTGGCTGCTTCCAGGTGTTTGTTTCTATGTATTAGGTAGAGCTGCTATGTCTCATGGAATTTGTAGAGTGGCTTTGTGTAGTAGGTGTCCTGTAGGGTCCAGTGGCTCAGCTTCCCCAGTCAACTAAGCTGGGCCTTCCAGGTGCTCCCCTGTGTGGGCTGTGTGCACTGTCCTGTTGTAGTTGAGCCTTGGTTGCTGTTGGCATCACTGGGAGGAATTGACCCCCAGGCCAATCAGCTGTGAGGACCAGTTGCAACTACAGCCAGAGAGCTGCTGTGCTGGAGACACCCCTATGGAGCAGGGCTTACTTCAGTGGGGCTTTGGTGTTCGCCAAGTGGGCCCCTTGAGTGTCACTCATGGCTGTGGAAGGGTTGTAATCCAGCATGGTCGAGTCTGACCACCAGGTGCACTGTCTCTGGGGCCTCCC